AACATTTGCACTCAAATGCTCTCAGGTGAGTGATGTTGGGCTTTCTCCCTCGAAGTAACTCATAGGGAATTTTCTTAAGAATAGGTCTAACCATACATCTGTTTAGCAAGTAGTAAGTAGTATTGAGTGCCTCAGCCCAGAAGCTCTTAGGCAGTCCACTAGCAATCAACATGGTCCTCCCTATGTCTTCTAGAGATCTATTCTTTCTTTCTACAATACCATTTTATTGTGGATTTCTAGGTGTAGATAAGTTATGATCAATGACATGCATGTTACAGAACTCAAGGAATTTAGAATTTTCAAACTCAATTCCATGGTCTGTTCTTATACTTAAAACATTAAAGCCCAGTTTATGTTGGATCATTCTGACAAACACACAGAACATATCAAAAGTTTCATCTTTATATCCAAAAAACAAAGTCCATGTATACCTAGAAAAGTCATCTACAATGACAAATGCATACCACTTGTCTCCTCTACTCCTCACTCTCATTGGTCCATATAGGTCCATGTGAAGAAGTTCTAGAGGTTTGGAGGTGTTGACAACCTTTTTAGATTTAAAAGGTGGCCTTACATGTTTCCCTCTAACACAGGCATCGCATACCTTGTCTGAGGTGAACTCAACTTTTGGTAGTCCAAGGACCAGGTCATTTGCTGCCAACTTGTTGTGTTGAGAAAGGCTGGCATGACCCAGTCTTCTATGCCATAACAATGGATTATCTTCCACTACATTTAAGCATGTGTGCTCACTCTGAGGAAGAGACATAATGGATATCTTGTAAATATTGTTATTTTTTTTTACCTTTTAACACAATTTCATCAGTATCAAGCTTAGTGACAGTGCAAATTTTGGAATTAAATTTTACCTCATATCCTTTATCACACATTTGAGAAATGCTAAGGATATTATTTTTGAGGCCTACAACATAATACACATCTTCTATAGCATGAGAGAGTGACTTACTAATACTTGTTATCTGGCCCTTTTTCCTATTTCCAAATGACACACTCCCTCCATGGAAGGCTGTCAGTGAGAGGATATTATTCTTTTCTTCAGTCATATGTCTTGAGCATCCACTATCTAGATACCAGTCTTGATTGTTTCCTCTCACTTTAACCTGCACCAGAAATCACAAGTTAGTCTTGGTAACCCAGACAAGCTTGGTCCTTTTTTTAATTTAAAAGGGGATGAATCAGATCACTTCTTGCCCAGAAGGGAAGAGGATTAATAGTTGTTTTCTTGTTAACCTTAATCCACTTAGTTTGGACAAAAGGTTTGGCTTTTGGTTCCTCTTCCTTCTTCCCATTTTTAGCAAGACCAAAAGTGTTCTTAAACTGATTATGAATTAAGGTAGGGCAAGTATCTCTAAAGTGACCTACCTTTCAACAATTAGTGCATATTTTGTTATCAGAAATTCCTACATACTTTAGCTCAAATTTGGAAATAGGTTTTCTATAGCCAATTCCTAATTTGTTAGTGTTGCAGTTTTCATTCAGCCAATTCAAAGCATCTGAGGATCTATTTCACTTGCTTGTCCTAGATAGTTCATAATTAGCCTTTTCTAGATTTTCTTGCAGAACTTTATTCCTATATTCAGTATCACAAAGATTATATTTAGCCCTTTTTAGTTCCTTTTCAAGATTATCTTGCTAATCACTCATCTTTCTCTTACCAAGTATATCAGGTGACTTCTCATTTTTAGAAGTGAGCTTAAGAACCTGATTCTTAAGGTCTTTGACCTGTCCTTCAAGTTCAACTTTATCAATGACGCTTTTTGAGATCAAGTTTGACATATCAAAGGTTACTTATTAATCGATCATTTCTAGCACTCATTTTGTCCATTTCACTCATCATGGTCACAATTATGGCCATCGGTTATTTTTTAGACATAACACGATTGTTTTCTTTCAAGTTAGAGATACTTACCTGATTTATTTCATCTTCAGTATCTGAATCACTCATGGCCATCATTCCTATCACTTCTTCTATTTAGCTTTCTTTAATTACCATAAACGTCACTTCGATATTTCCATCTCCAAAATCAGCTTACATGGTCCTCCATATATCATGGGCAGAGATACAAGAGGATACCTTGTAGAGAATTTTTCTGGGCAAACTTCTGTAGAGTAGGTTCTTTGCTTTAGCATTTTTTTGGATTAACTGACGATCTTCATCATCATATTCTTCTTATCTCTTGTTATATTTGTTACCTTCACCATCCATTTTGGTAGGGATGATTGGTCCATGATTGATAATTACCCATAGGTTATAGTCAGTGGCCTGAAGGAACGTTTCCATACGCATCTTCCATTCATCATAGTGATTTCCATCAAATAGAGGAGGTCTTCCAATGTGCATTCCAAGATGTACTGGAGGTTCTGTCTCCACTATCTGATGTCTATCAATTATAACATAGAGACTTATGGCCTCATCCTCCTTCTCTTCATCTTTATCACTTCCACATTCCTCATATGATGCTAGAAAGGCCTGCTTCATTGGTTCAGTGAATCCTTTACCTAGGATTTTTCCTTTGTTTGGATCCTTTTCTCTCATTTTTTTCCCATTTCTCCTTTTTAGCTCGTTCTTTCCTCCACTCAGTTTCCTGTATTGAGCAGTCTTTGACCATGTGGTCTAGCTTGCTACACTTGTAGCACCCATCATAAGTAGCTTTGTCGATCTGCTTAGGCTTGCCGTTGTACTCTATTTTATATGTATTTTTGGAGTTCTTCATGAACTTCTTGAACTTAGAAAACATTGCTAGGTCAGGATCATCGCTGTCAGATTCAACTTTCTCAGACGCCTTCAGGACCAAGCCTTATCCCTCTTTGATTCTTTCGTACGCAGTTCTACATTTATATTTCATGAGTCTTTAAGTTTCCAACCAACTCATCAAGTGAGATCTTATCCAGCTCCTTGACTTCCTGAAAAGCTGTGACTTTTGATTCCCATGAAGCTAGAAGAATCCTTAGAACATTGCTAACCAACTCTTTTAAGGTAAACACCTTTCCAAGTGATTTCAGTTCATTTTTTATTATGGTAAACCTAGTCATCATCCCTGAATGGGCTCAGACCCCTTCATAGAGAAGAGCTAATAGTTTCTCATAAGTAATTCTATCCTTGATCTCTTCATTTGGTTTGTTCCTTCATGAGCAGTTTAGAGTGAATCTCAGATCTCATTTGTATTGGAACAAGCTGATATCCTATTGTACTTATCGGGACCAAGTCCACAGATAAGGATTTTCTTAGCCTTTGCATTCTTCTCCGTCATTTTGAAATCTGCTGCCACAAATTTAGAGGGGTCCTTAGGAACAGTTTTATTTTGAGAAGCAAGGTAAACATAACAATTTTTACGTGAAAAATCACCCGGCTCAAAGGGTGCAAAAACCACGACCTACTACGTAGGATTTTCAACTTCAACTTCACTAGAACAATGAGCCAAATGTATCGATTACAAAACTGTAACTCAATACTCTCTAGTACTCCTACTATAACTATTTGAATTACAAGTTACTCTAACTTGTAAAACAAACACTCACTCCAACTCACTAATTTTTTATGACACTTTGGTTACATCTTAATTTCCTAAAACACATTCACTAGACTGACTCAAGAAGAACACAACACTGGTACTCGACTTGAGTGTGAAAAATGTAGTTTTTTAGTTTATGTGCAAAAGGATAATCCCAGTAGTCCAGAAGGATAGTATTTAAGTTCCCTGGACTTCCAAATCTTCTAGGAGTCCTATGCATAGTCAGCTTCCCGTTTGATAGGACTCTGACTGCTCCAAGGACTCCACAAGTCTTGGGACTCTTGTTTCTCACTTATGCATGCGTATTTATTTGGGCAATAACCCTTATCATGTTTAGCAGTTATCTTCCAACAAACTCGGGTCTGAGTAACTTTGAGATAAAGTTATTGTCTTGCAAAGACGTACAATCATCAACCTTGAGGAGTTGGTCCTTAGCCCTGAGGGCTGGTTCTTAGAGCAGTTAAACAGCTATGTTGAGGACATGGTTCTGACAACATTTCATCTGAATAAACTTTATTAATCAAAATCAAAATCTCAATACTCAACAAAGGTTTCGAAAAGCTAAAATTCAAAACTTTTAAAAATAAAATTCAAAATTTGATCCGTAATCCAACCCAAACTAGATAGTTCGGACATACCAGGTTAGATATAATTAGAAATAAAGTTATCTAGGACAAAGTGGGCGTGGTTCCAGTGGAGGATAAGATGCGGGAGGTGAGACTTAGATGGTTCGGCCATGTGAAGAGAAGAGACACAGATGCACCGGTGAGGAGGTGTGAGAGGCTGGCATTGGAGGGCCAACAGAGAGGTAAAGGTAGGACAAAGAAGTATTTGGGGAGAGGTGATTAGGCGAGATATGACGTTGCTCCAGCTTTCCGAGGACATGACCATGGATAGGAAGGTGTGGAGGTTGACAACAAAGGTAAAGGGTTAGGTAGCCGAGCTTTGTCCGTGTTTGTAGCAGTAACTTTGATACATCATTTAGTGTCTTTTGTGTATTTTCGTATCGATAGACTTTTGTTATTACTTGTTAATGCCTTTGTTTCGATTTTCTGTTTGCATTTCTTATTGTTAGTTCTGTTAGTATTGTCACTGCGGTTTTCAGATTTGGTTTACTTGTTGTTGCCCTTCCATTTATCTTTCTTGAGCTGATAATTTACCGGAAACAACCTCTCTGCCTTTTTAAAGGTAGGGGTAAGGACCGCGTATACTCTAGCCTCCCGAGACCCCACTTTCCAAACCAAAAGAGGATTACGATCCTACGGCTAAAGCATTGTTTCGGCCCCTGCTTCTAGAAGAGTTGGTGCAAAAGATTGTGGGACTACACTAAGTATGTTGTTGTTGTAATCCAACCCAAACTAAAAATTCGAAAATTTTGAATTTCCATTTTGTCCAAACTATGCCCACCTCCGTTAAGAAAGTTGCAGAATTAAATAGAAGAAACTAGGGGAGCTTTTGTAACTAATCCAACTCCAAAAAGAAAAAAGAACAATTTAAATATGTGGGGTTCTAAACATTCAAGATTTCCAACTTAAATAAAATTTCGATAGATGGCTCAATCGTCCGGATTCAGTTTCTATTACTGCAAAGTTGTTTTCCTGAGCAACTTATGAATTTAAGTGATTTTTCTTATAAAGATGGTGTCCAGGACGCATCTACTACTTGGAGTAATCAACTGAATACCAGTACACACCTAGTTAGTTATTATAATTTTTTCTTTTTTCCATTTTCTAATTTGGTTGGGTGTGGGTCATGGGTTTATGTGGAATCTAAATTATGTCCACTTTTTTAGATTAACTTTTACTGTCTTTGTGGTCCGTGGAAGTAGTTAAAGATGCTGGATACGAGAAGATGAACTGTGTTGTAGGACGTGATGACTCTAAAGGTTAGTCTTGACTTTCTCATAAACTTGAAATATGGATTAATTGTTAGGTGGCTTTTCAAGTCCAGGAATTCATACCTTATAGATTTAGCTTGTTTTCTTGCTCTTAGAGTTGTCATTTCATTTATATTAGGAAGTGAATAATAGGATTACAGTCAACAAAAACGACGACAACTAGGTGACGCGCATTCAAATTGATAACTGGCACTCTGGCTGATACACAAGGGAGGTTTTTGTAACTGATCCACATTTTTCTGTTTGTTAGTTTTCTTTTTGTTATCAGTTACTTGAGCTCAATTTGAAGTGCATGAGATCACAATGTGAAATTTGCTTCTGCAATCTGAATGTCAAAATTTGCTTCATTGTTTGTGCAATTATATTTCATTAATAGATTCAGTGATTCAGAAACTGGTAGTTCATTTCAAATATGTTTGATAAAGATTAGAACTATTTAACAACAATAACCTCTGTATTACATTTCTCGCAGAACATCCATCTTTTCTTTCATTGTTTGATTATTATCAATTTCTTAATCCCTGATCAATCCAATAACCTAAGATATTTCTCTTTTAGTTTTTTAATTGTATTCTTAGGTTTTCCCATTATTCAACCTATTGGAGCCATCATTTTAGTGATCAACCTGGTGCTGTTTAATGTAAAAATAATTTCCCAAGCTAATCTGGATGATTTTAGCTTGTGTCTACATTGGTCAATTCAACTAAAAAGACACCCTCCTTAAAATTTAAAAGAAGAGACCTTCCTTTAAATCTTATTTAGAGCGTGCTAAAGATTTTTCAGAGTACTCAATGATATGCGCAGATGCCGTCTAAGAGAAGTATTTTGGCTATTTGACAGCTATCTACCGAGCTGGAAGAGAAGTGTTGTACTAAAAGATATATAGTTAACTGTATTAAGGAAAATAATGAAAAGTTGCTCTTTTACTCATCAAGAAGAAAAATATCATAATGATACAAACTATTGAAACAGAAAAATGGAGAATACATCACTGATGTTCAGCTAAAAACATTAAAAACTCGTCTACTTTATTTATTTGTTTCAGAGCATGCTATCAGCTCGAGCTGGCAATCTTCTGAAGAAATTGATTGGTGGTGAAGGCATTTTGCTCCTGAATCTTGGGTGCCTTAGGTAAACCAGACCTGCAACTAGAGCTATGATTTTGAAAGGTGTCACATACAGTATCACTGCTGTGATAAGACAGAAGACTACGAAGAGGCTGGTTGCCCTTGGATCTCTCCAACTTAGCAGAGCCTGGAGTCTCTCTCCTTGAGTTGCCATGTCCCCGATGACCGTTTGGATTCTACCAGACACACTTCTAAGTCTGTCATACCTCATTTTAACTATATTCTCAGCCTTCGATGTGGGGAAAGTGTCAAACTCTTCGTCCAGTTCGTCTGGGTTAACTGCTTCAGCCCACGATAGTTTTGTGTCCATATGTGGAGGCTGCCTAGGTCTGGAGCGGTAGTTCCATATTCCAATGAGAAACATATAAAGGAATGTGGTTGGTAGTATTAACTCTGGGTAGCAGATCAATATGCAAAAGAGAACATGAACGAGCATAGTGGTGATTGGGTTCTTCCATTTGCAAACTTCTTCAAGCCACTTGCTCATGGAAATTACACCTGAGAACAGAGAAACAATTCTGAAGAAGTTAGCTTTACTTCTTCTCATGCTCCACATGTGGGAGTCTACATCCAGCATGTACTCCACAACCTCTTTGTGCAGTGGTGGCTCAGCTCGTCCGAGCCTCACAGCTACAATATTCATGGCCTGATATCTCAAACTGTCCACTTGGTTTACCGTGAAAGGATGTAGATAATGCATCTTTGGGAGCAAGGGATGGCCATAGAGATATATGATGTTTGCAAGAGACAAACAAGTAAATCTAAAAGCCAGTTGGAGTTCACCCATCTTCTTCACTCCAGATGGTTGTAAAACAAGAAGTGGGTAAGACATTGTATAAATTCGATCAGTTTCCAGTGTTGATAATCTGATCCTTACCTTACCAATCCGAGAGTCCTTTCCACCAGCTGAGTTCTCCCCTCCTAGGTGGCCGTTGTCGAAGACGCCCAATGTAATCACTGTACAGGGGTCATAAACCTCCCATGTGTATTGTTCGTTCCATTTGGGACTCAAGCTATCAAGTATAGTTCTGGTTCTTACCCATTTCAATCCATATTTAGCCACACAATAAGCATCTGTGGTTTTTCTGCCATCCTTAGGTTTCATAGGGACAAGCCCTTGTGCACTCAAGATGCCTACTTCCAGAATTCCAACTGGTTGCTTCCACAACTGCCTTGCTGTTGGCCTCTGATCGCTGATATACATTGTTGATTCATCTAGTACATGGTATCCACCTTCAAGGCAACCTCTGAGATGGATTCTTGTTGAAAACTTGAGTTCATTCCTCCTGTCTCCCTCTAGAACTCCGAACCCGAACCTTTCAAGATTGAACCAGCGAGAATGAACTGCCCGGTGATCCAATCGTTTCTCAAAGGTGTTAAGTGGCAAGACTATCCTCCCCGCAATCTCATCTTTGGAAGGATCAATCTTACATTCGATGGTAAGTACCAATTGCTCCTCAAAAGGCTCTGCAACCACAAATAATAGGTCTTCATTCCAGAAAGGATTAGTTGTTCGTGTTTGGCATACTTTGGTCTTTAGTACCTGCTTCCCGACTTGAGACTTCACAAATACCTGTGGGGGTTGGCTTTTGTCTTGGGATTCTACATCTTGCGCTTCAATGATATTGACTCTCAGGTACCACAGTTTAGGTGAAACATATACCTTTGATCTGACACTATGGACACCTTCTCCTTGAACTGAAGCAGCATCTGCATGCCATGCTTCTGAGAAGGCTTCATCTGCTTGGGTTCCCATCCACACTGCAAGCATGACCTCTCCCCTGACTTTGCTCTCCCCTCGTCGATCCACTAATCTATACCACTGAGGTGCCAAAGGGCTGTCAGGTGGAACCCTTGTAGGAACTTCATTCATGTCAAAAACTACTTTCCCTAGATAATCATCTCTCTGCACCATTTCCTTGTCTCTTACGAAAACTTCAAGAATTGAAGACTGAATCTTCTCTTTTGAAAAAGCAAAAACTTGCTTCCATTCAGGGTTTACCTTCTTATCAAAGTGCTTTGTTTTGCCTTTATAGTTTCCAAGTTTCACCTCCACATATGGATCGCAACTCCCTGTTACTGGATTTGGCGGTAGATCTCTTGCTTTCACAACTCGGNCCTGTTACTGGATTTGGCGGTAGGTCTCTTGCTTTCACAACTCGAACATAAAGAAAATGCATCTGTTCAACAAGATCATAAGTGCTTGTGACTCGGTCACTGCTAATCCATCCACCTCCACCTCGAAATCCTCCGTGTGGCCACCGTTCCCCAAGTTGAGGTTTCGTTTCTTTGGCTTTATAGTCGTCTTCAGCGCCCATGGTTTCCCTTGTCTAGATCTTACGTGTTCCTTGAGGAACTAGAGACTTTTGTGTTTATAAGACTTGTAAAAATGATAGCAGCTTCAGCAAATTCACAATACCTGAAGGAAATGATTTGTTTGTATTAGAAAATGAATGGAACTCAGGACTGATGAACGATGCACTTGTTTGAGAACTGAGCTTCCTGTGAAGTCAGCCCTCAGGGTTTTACTATTTCACTCACCACCTTTTCCTGGAACTAGCTGAAATCTTGCCCTCTAGTGAATGTTGCTGATAGAAATTTTCTTCCTAATACTGGATGTTGAAGAAAAGGAAGAGTTCTTTCAGCTAGTTGGTATAAAGTTGGTGGTTTATTCGCAATCGTAAGTGAGGACTTCTGAATTTAATCCTGAGTTCAACCCTGTATTCTGCCAGCTGTTGGACTTTCTAAGCTGCTTTAGATTATAACAATGAAAAAATGGCCTTTGGTTAAAAAATGAGTTGATAATCATGACAGAAAAAAGCGAAAGCATTTTGTTGTTTGATTAGCAAATTATGAGTGTCTAAAGATTCTTGAAAGCATGCTGGTAGAAAGTACACTATGCCATTTGCTTCGTTTAAACGCATGAATTCCACTTAGATTAAGTACTTTCCGAGGTGTTGAAAATTCATATTTGGAAAAAGTAATCGGGTGGCGCATCTCTAATGACAAAATTAGTCTTTGTGGACTTGAAAAGAAGGGAATTTTTCCCTTTTTCTGATTATGATAAGCCTTTTAGACTTTTAATGTTCTCTGTACTTGCTTTCTAAGATTCTTTAAGTTGCAAGATGCCTGAGTTCACCAGCACTTGTATTTCATACTGCTAATGTATGTTTTCAGCAGGAGCTAATGGGATTCCCAGAGATAAAGAAGAGCATTGGAGACTGAAGAAAAGTAATACAGAAGACTTATGGGTACTTGAGCATGTCTACAAAGATGCTTTTTATCCTTTATTCTCCAACTTTATTCTCTTATCTTTTATTCTGGCATCGATACTCTCTTTTTACTTGTTAAAGGAAAAATCAGAGATTCCTCCATTTTTTCACTTTCCTTTGTTAGTGTTTTCTAACTTATTTCTTGACGGTCTTTGTCTCAACCATGTTCTTTCCTCGCTCCTATTCATTAACAAAAAGTTGTGTTGTTGTAATTAGCAGTACACAGATATCAGATTTCAGTTAAGTGTAGCAAGAGTCTATGCAATGAGAAAGACTGTTAAAACTTGGTCAGGGTCAAAAGAAATTGGAACTGGATATATCGTAGTTCAGGGTCAAAAGAAATGCCTCGAGGAGGGAAAATAAAAAGAGATTGTTATGTAAATTCACTTGATGAAAGTGACTGAGAAGTTAGCTTTTTCGGGGTCTTCAGAAGAATCAGAAGTGTAATTTGATCAATAGTATTAAACTTAATCAAAAGATATAAATAAGTTTCTCTCTTGTGCAGTAATGTCGAACCCTTCACATAACCAAATATATTGGAATCAATTATTATTTTATAGATTGATTAAACATCAAAATTAAGTACGGAGTGAATTTTAGGGGAGAATTGATTGGAAAAAGTAGGTTTCACAAATAGAAACATGGAATTGCATGCTTTGAGGTATTGTTTAATGAAACTCTATAATTGGAAGTGTTTGAAAACAAAATTCCAAATGACAATTAGGAATTCCACATAAAATCAGAGGCATTCATGTGAACAACTTGCCTGGGAGATATAATTTGCATGTCAGCTCGGTCATTTGCGTGAAGCTCTGTAATGCAATCTTATAAAACAGAACCACAATTTGAAAGAATTGAGAGAAGTTATTTGATTTGATTTGAGAAGAGTAGAGAGAGGAAAAAAGGAAACTTCATAACCCTTTTATTAAAGTGGAAAATAATTTTCCTCCTATATATTTTATTTCTCTTCATTTGGTACAAATCAAACGCTGATGATAGCGCTCGATTTGAGAGGCTAGATCAAGCTAAGCCTGCTTGGTATTTGTTTACCCGTAAAACTACTTGGTACAGTTGAATTTATAGCGTGGTTTATACACAAGCGAATCGGTTTGATCCAAAACTAATAAAGAAATAAGAATAAAAATAAGATTAACGACTGAAATTAAAGGAGATAGCAAGCTTGATTCTGTGCTCGGCCTTTCCGGGAGCAAAAGTAAAAGCAGTGATAAAACAATGATAGAACTATTTTGATTGAGCGTAAAATAATAAGCTAAAGCTTTTGTATGCAGAATCTTTTTCTCCCTTACAAGAGTTGCCAATCCTGTTATTTATAGCTATCCTTAGGGAGACAAGATCCTAAAATCAAACTCCTCTTGAATGAGAATAGAAACGTCATTGTTGAGTGCATAACGATTGGCT